CTCCCTCCAATGACAGATGGGTGGGGGAACACTGCCACAGACACTGCTGCGCCAGTAGTGCACCCATGGTAGTGCTCTGGGAGATGCTCAGCGATTCAGGCACTGCTAGAGAAATCTGCCTCAGGCACACACATAAGGCCATGAGCTCAGCAGCACAGCTGTGGCTGTAGATGCACATGCTGTGTCAGGCTGTCCTGTGGACATGCACACAGTATGTGTGCACACGCTGTGACTGTAGTCATGCCATGTACATGCAAGGATCCTGTATCTGTACCCACATCGTGCTCATGGGTTGCACTGTCCATGGTCACATGTATCCACGCTCATACTGTGACCATGGTCACACCGTGGCTTTGCTTAAACTGTGGCCTTACTTTCAACACACCAAACTGTTCCCCTCTCATTCCTGACTCTCCAGCAAGACAAAGATGATAGAGGCCTTCCATGGGCAACCAACCAACTACTGGGGCTTTATGTCCTCCCCTCCAATGCCCCCAGACTCTTTGGACGCGTGAATACTGTTGCTGCTGCACAGTGAACCCACGGACAAGGCTGGGGGAGGCACCTCATCCTGCAGCAGCCTGGAAAAAATGGGCTGGGGATAAAATTAGCAGGAGTTTTTTATTACTGGGATTTTATTTTTAAAAGCAATGTAAAGTACATCACTGATGGGAAAACCCCGGAAGTCTGGGCCAGCCTGTGGGATAGTAGTATGCCTCTGCTCTGTAGTGGATATCCTGCTCACCCCAGGAAGGATGTGAGGTGGAAGCTCGCTGTAAGAACAATCAGCATGGCAGCCAGGACCATGAGGGGACTGATCTTGCCCCCTGGAATGCACCAGGGTGGTGCAGTGGCACATGAGGGAGCAGGGACAGCTGGGTCCTGCCAGGAGGCATCACATGGCCATAGGGTCCCCAGGAAACTCTGTTGGGAAGGACCCTTCCTGTCTAAGTAGTACTGGTCCCTCCAGCCAGAGAAGATACAACTGGGGGTCTGCAAACTCATGCAAACTCAGGACAGTCCTGAGAGTGGAGAGGGATGGAGCCACTAGCTCTTCTAGTGTATGAAGTGAAGGTAGAAGCCAGATCTAACTCATCCTAAAGCAGGCAGCTCCCAGTGCTGGGGTGCAGCTGCTCCCTGATAAGGGATGGTGCCTCTGGAGGTTTGCCTTCACTGCAGTAGAGGGATTTTGACAAGTACAGAGAGGAAGAATCTACTGAAGGGTGAAAATCAGAAAATCATGACTGGCTTAGGTCACCCCCCAGCTGAAAGACAGCTGGAGATAGGGAGAGGGCTCAAGGAAAGTGTCGCATATACTGTCACCTTCTTCATTCATGGACACCTCTGGTGGCAGGAGGGCACGGTGGGAATATCACAGCAGTGTTACTGCTGGCTGCTCCCAGGCTTATCTGCTGGGAATGATGTGTGGCAGCCAAGAATGGCTGGCACAGGCTCGAGCTGGATTCTGACATAATTTTTTAAATAAGTGGAACTTGAACCTGTAAAGATCTCACCTGAGAATTTAAACCTACTGCTAGGAGCCTAAGCAAGTGCCTGGTCCCCTGGTGAGCTGTTCAGTGACTCCCAGGAGACCCAAGTTATTCCAAACACTGGAAACATTTCTCCTTGTGCAGCAAACCCACTGCTGAGCCACAGAACTAGGCATCCATCCTCTCCCTGCCCCTCAGGAGTGATGGTCCTGGCAGATTATTGAGAGGAGCCTGAGCAGCACTTGCAGCCTGGTACAGGGCTCAGGCACTCTATGCCTCAGGCTGGAAGTGACTGGGATGTGGTGGCTGCCTGGCAGCTCTTCTTGACCCTGGGTTGGGGAAGTCCTGCTGTGATTGGGCACTCCCCTGTTGTATTGTGCTTTTATATTTCTGTAACAGTTCTGTAATGGTTTGCCCCTTCACTCCCCATTTTCTCCCAATGTTTCCACCCCAAGTTTTCCTGCCATTCCCTCAATGTCAATCTCCCTGAAAACGCTTAGTCACTCCTCTGTCCCCTCCCTGCTACCTTGTCCATCACTCAGCTCCCCATCCCATTCTTCCAGAATCTTCTACCCTGGGTGTCAAGGGATTGGATGAGGGCCAGGGGTCCCTCCCTTATGTTTCCCCCATTGGTTTTTGTATCTGTCTATCCTTTTGCCTTCCAGTTCCCCCAAACCGCCCCATTGGTCAATGGGCGTTCCCTTCCCCTTGTTACTGCCCGGTATTTAAGACTTTGGGACAGTCTCGAGGCAAGTCTTGAGGCGGCTCTCAGCTGTTAGATATTCTGGAGTCAGGAGCTGCTCGGAGCCTGGATTAAACCTGGAACTGTTTCCCCAGCCTTGAGTCAGCTCCTTTATTGCCTCCTTGGACGTTGCCTCTCCTCCATACAAGGCAAAGAGCGTAGCGCTCTGTCTTAGCTGCTCTCTGACTCTCCTTGAGATACAGGGGACTGTCCCTGCAGCTGACTGTGCCTCTGCCAGGCAGGTGAAGCCAGGGGGCTTCAGAGTGGCACCCCCCCAACCACAGAAGAACTGACACTTCTGATCCTGGGGCTTGATTCCAAAGAGCCATGTGGGGTGTTGGAAAGGGAAGCTGAATCCTTTAGCACGGAACATAAATTCTTCCTGCATGACAAGGTGACGACAGGAGACAGTGGCAACCAAGAAGGTTCCCAGCACCAGTTAGGTGCTCAAACCAGCCCTCAGACACTGAGCAGGCTCATGCCATAGGAAGGCAGAAGTGTGGAATCTTCCACGGGCTTCAGGTCAGTATCTGCTCTGAAATGAACAGGGCTTACGCCTTTATTAATGTTCAGCTCTTTATTAAAAATATCATCTGGGCAGGGGGCTCGACATGGAGCTCGCCCCCACTGTTGTAGCTTTTTCCAGGTAGCCCAAGGGGCAGAAAGCTGCAGAGTCTGTCCCTGAAGTCTTCATGGCTCACTGGTAGCCGAAGGGTGAAGAGGTGTCCGGTCTGTAGCTGAAGTCTGGATCAGCAACTGTCCCCCCTCCTTTCCTCATGGCACACTGGTAGCCAAAGGGTGAAGCGGTGTGCAGTCTGTTGCTGAAGTCTGGATCAGCAGATTGTCGTCTTTCCTTTCCTCCTGGTAACACCAGGAAGAGTTGTTCCTTTGTTCCTGCTTCCCACACCCAGTCCAGTCCTCTGGAGGCTCTGGTGACAGGTCAGACATAGACCAGCGACGTGGTTCCCTTTTCCCCAGCCAGCACACCCATCCAGCCCCCTCCACTGTGCCCAGCCCTGCATTTAGGGGTGTTTTCATCCCCAAAACCCCCTCCCACGATTCCACAGGTTCTGCTATTTGCATCCAGTCCTAGAATGGCAGTGTGGGTGGGGGGTGTAGGTCATCCCCAAGTGGTTTAGAGAAAACAAACAGAGCAATTAGCTAATATCAGTACTTAGCTCAAGCCAGCAGTGTCTCAGTATTGCCATGGAACCAGGAAGGCTCTTCTGTTCATTACGTGCTCGTGCTCCACCATGGACCTTCATAGGTTTCAGCACAGCTGCCTCTTCAGGTCATCCCCACAGGCTGCAGGTAATCTGTTCTTGCACCTGGAGCACCTCCTCTCCTCCCTCTCCACTGAACTAGGATCTGCAGGGCTGTGCAGTGGTTTTTACTCTTTCTTAAAAACATTATCCCAGAGGACCCCCCATTCACTGCTGGCAGGCTCAGCTTTGGGTGGTAGTGGGTCCACTGGGACAGCTTCTGGTGCCTTCTCACTAAGACACTCTACAGACCCCCCCTGCCCAAACCTTACCAATACAGTCCCAAGGACACAATGTCCCTCTGGCGGGATGGGGACCAGGCTAGAGCAGAAGGGGAATGCACTGGAAACAAGATGTGGATGCTCATCCATAGCAGCTCCTGCCCAGCTCCTGTCTGGTTGATACATACCAGGCAGGACCATGTCTGTCCTGACCGGAATTTGGCACACCTAGGTTGATGTTAGCTCTCCTGGAGGACACACCAACCTGGGCAGCTGCTCCAGCACCTGGATCAAACACAAAGGGAGTTTGAGATCTGAACCTCACCATCTGCTCCTTAGAAAGGAGAAAAGTGACTGGTGAACGCCTCTGGCAAGTCGCTTGCACCCCTACGTGCTGCCAAATTTCACACTCGTGCACTGTTTCTCTGCTGAGGGTTTAACTTCAGCCCTGCCCAGAGACTTTGAGCAAAAAGAAATCGCTCCAGTAAGGAAAGCTTTTCCCCACAACAGGGCAGTGTTTCCCTGCAGCACCTGTCACTAGCCCACAAAACCATGATTGTTCTTCCACCTCACAAAAACTAAAATCCACATGAAACTGGAAAATTTGCGCTCAGTTGTTTAATCCAAGTCATCTGTTGAAACCTGATAGCAGGAGGTGGGACAAGCATCCTTTCCAAGCTCTCCCTGGGCATGGCCGTATCCCTGCAGGCACAGAGGAGCACCTGGAGGTCACTGCCAGTTCCCTTCTAATTAACATGGGTAGGTTTTTCCTTTCCTTTTGTCCAAGCACAAATGTATCTTAAAAGGGGAGGGCCATGGCCTTGAGTGAAGCATTAGCAGCCCTGAAGGCCTGAGATCATCCCAGAACATAGCTGTTCTCTATTTCCCTTCCCCTTGTGGGGGAAGGGAAATCACCTCTGCAATCTACTTCAACCCCACAGGTGCGTTTAACTGGTGCCATCCCAGATGAGGGTCCTGATTGCTCTTTTGTCCTGCAGCAGAGAACATTTGTCATGGGACCTTTTCTTCAAAATATTTCACAGATCAGAACCATACAATGGTTCAAGTTGCAAGGGGCCTTAAAGTCCATCTTGTTTCACCCCTGGCCATGGGCAGGGACACCTTCCAGTGTCCCAGGTAGTTCCAAGACCTGTCCAGCCTGGCCTTGGACACTTCCAGGATGGGGCAGCCACAGTTTCTCTGGGCACCCTTTGCAGGGCCTCACCACCCTAACAGGGAAGGATTTCTTCCCAATATCCCATCTAACCACTAAGGCCATTCCCCCTTGTCACTTCCAGGCCCTTGTCCCCAGTCCCTCTCCCTCTCTCCCAGAGTCCCTTTAGGCACTGCAAGGGGCTCTGAGGTCTCCATGGAGCCTTCTCCAGGTGAAAACCCTCAGCTGTCCCAGTCTAGCTCCAGAGCAGAAGGGCTCCAACCCTCAGAGCATCTCCATGGCTTCCTCTGGGCCAGTGTTAGTGAAGGAGGGAGCTGGACTCCAGAATGGACTGGAGCCCTGCCCAGCACTGAGGGTGATGCTGTGCCATGGGGGCTGTGGAGCTGTCCCAGACTTGCTTTGTGCTGAAGCAACATTCATCATGTTTCAGAGGACCTGCCTGAAGTGGCCTTAAGACACCCATGTGTCTGTTTTGGGACAGGAATGGGTATGTGCAGCCCTGGGGCTGCAGGTGTCCCTCTGCAGCAGGAGAGATCCCTATACATCCTTGGGAGCATCCAGCTGCACATCAGTCACATTGGTTGGTAACACGTAGAGGAGGAGGAAATGAATGAGGCTTCCCAGGGCTTTTTAAGATCTTCACAACACATGATTTTCTCACATTCAAGCTGGTGGCATGCCATAATCAGCCCAGAAGCTCAAGTTTCTCCTGAAAGAGAATTAAAAGTCAAGTTCTGCAGATATGTCCAAAACCTGAAAAGTATAACCATGAAAATCTCTGCCAGTCATAAATGTTAGAGGTTTTTCATTGTCACGATTTTGGATCATCTGACTCCCATCTTTGTGTTCTGAGCTACTTGAGAAAAAGCTCTTATATAGCTGGGGGGGCCTGGGGTGCACCAGGAATTCAGGAGGAGAGTTCATACAAAAGGTTCCAGGTTGGGAAATGGTGGTGAAGCAAGAGGGTTAAATCTGGGACAAAATGGGATTCATAAATTGATTAAAGCTGAATAATTTCCTGGCCGGGGTATGATTTAGCTCAACAGTAACAGGTGATTTCACTGCAGCTGTACAAAGCTCATCCCTATTTCTGGGCAGCTCTGTAGAGCCTCAGTTTTGCTGGAAGGAGACAAGTCTGGCTGCTGGAGGACTTGCTGGGAGGTGGAAGTCAAGGGATTGTGTTTGGGAAAGAGAGGTCCCAGTGGTCTTTGCCCAAAGTGGGAGCTGTCAGCAGCTGGGAAAGATCTTCTGCCCTTTGACCAGATGTCAGCAGGTTTGGGTGGGGATCCTGCAGGGTCTGGGCATCAGGAACAGGGAGGGATGCTCCCAGGAAGCACCCAGGGCTGAGAGGCAATATGGGGAGAGGGAGAGATCCTTTGGCTGAGCCTTGGCAAAGGGTCAGAGCACCCGCTCTCCTGCCCTTGTGTTGCAGCAAGCCCATTGCTGCCAGCCCTGAAACAGGGCTCCTGCAGCCAGTCAGGGGCATTCCAGGCTGTTTTGGGCACCTCACACTGCCCTCCCTGTCACAGTGGTGGGAAGTGAATCTGTGCTCTGTGTGCCACTGTCTGCCCGTGCCATCAACTGCCTGTGCCATCATTCGCTTGAGTGTGCCATCACCTGCCCTGCCTATGTATCATTGCTCTGCTGGACACAAGGGGCTTGTTCTGGTACCAGGAGCAGGGACAGCTGGAGGCAGGAATAACAGCCTGTGACATCCCCAGTGCTCCCTTCAGAAGGGCTTCTGTACTCTTCTGCCCCCATCAATGACTGGGAGGCCTGGGAGCATTTGAGCACTGACTTCCTGAGGGCAGTGGGAGCTGAGTCCTGGAGCCCCTGGGCAGTGGATTTGGTTTTTGGCTCCGTCAGCAGGATGGCACCGGGAAGTTCTTTGTCAAGAACAAAGGATGCTCTTCCAGTCTGGGTCCAGCATGGGTAGCTTCAAGTCATCTCCTGACCTCCAGCAGTCAGCTGGCTGAGGCTGCACATTGGAATCCCAATAGGTAGGGAAGGGTCTGGCTGGGATCCTTGGGTGGGGAGAGGGTGGGAAAGTGCCATTTGGACTAAGGCTGGGAAGAGAGTACACATCGTGTCAGCCATGGCTGGAGCCCTCAACTCTAGCAAAGGAAATGGCTCTCCTGAGATTTCTTGCTGCATTTTGGGATGTGTAAAGGACTGGAAATGAGCCTGCTGGCTGGAGGGGTGTACTTAAGGGCTGTGTACCTTTGCATGGAGGCAGTGACCATCTGTCACAAGAAAAATACATTATTGGGGCCGCAAATTTAACTTTAGCATTGTTAAGGCAGTCACTGTTTTGACAAAGGACTGTTCCAGGCTTGTGGGGAGATCTGAGCCAGTGTGCTTGCTGGGGCTGCTCTCATGGCTCCTGATGGAAAACAATGGAAAAAGAGACAGGCAAAACCAAGGAGTCCAGACAAGATGTTTCTGTGATGCAGAGCTTTCCCCAGAAGGACTGTAGGGTGGGGAGGAGAGGGAACACTGCAGGACAATTCTTCTTGATGTTCCCCACCTCATGGTGGGGGAGGGGGCGATGGGGGGGCGCAGAATTTGAGGGAACCTTTGGGCAGAGAATTTCTCCATGCATCAGCAATGGTAAATGAGCAAATTCACTGCACAGAAGAGCTGATGCAGATATGCCTATACAAACCATATCATTTCGTTACTTGAATTCTCCTTGCAGATCAGTACAAGAGCTGAGCATGGAGTAATAGGTTCTGTTTGGAACATCAAGGGACACAAATTCCTCATATAGCCAGGTTCAATGTAGATAACAGGGGAATAAGAGACCATCCAGAAAGGATGTGAGTTTTGGGGGACAGGGGACAATAATGCTTGTACACACCCCAGGAAGAGAAGATACCCTCACGCGGCCTACTTCCTCATGCCCTGCTAACTATCATCTTGTCACTTATGGGGACCTTTGCAGCGTCCCAAGGCCCTGTTCACTTCAGGCTTCTGGGCAATGCGTAGCAGAGTTGGCAGAAGGGCCCCTCAGCTGCCCCCAACAGCACCCTGTTCAGTCAGAGCCCCCTGATGCTTTGGTGGGGCTCAGCGAGGACAGCCTGGGTGCCTCAGCCTCCCCCGGGAGTCTGTTCTTGCTGTGGGTCTCCATGGGGCTGTGGTGATGGCCATGGGCTGCTTCAGTGAGTCTGTTGCCCTGAAAGCCAGGCAAGAGCTCAGCCTCTGCATGGCCCAGCTGCTCACCATGGCCATGACCTGTTGCTTGTGGGGATGAGCTGAGATTGTTCAAAACGTGGCTTCCCACTTGGAATTGGAGCCTGTGGGTAGTGTTGGCCAGTTTAAGAAAAGTGACAAGTAGTTCCCTGCTTTTTTCCAAGCAGAAGATAATTTTCCCCTCCATCCTGCCAGCTCTGTCCCCACCCCACCACCATCCTCTCCCTCACACTGAGAATGGGGATCAGCCCCTTGCCACAAGGCTGCCCAGGAGGATCTGCACGTGGTGCTCCCTTCCTTCATGTCACATGCTTTGCTTGTGTTCACGCAACCTGTCCTAACAGGCTTAGGGACAGGTGAGCTTGTAGTGGCTGCATGGAGCCAGCAGGATGTGACTATGACCCTGGGCCTCCATGTGCCAAGGACACCCCTGCCCTGGGGCCACGGTGTAAGGGAGGGATGTTCTGTGTGCTCTCCTGTGCCAGCATCCACAGGCTCATGTCACAAGCTTGGGGAGAGAGTTCATCAGTTGTCATGCCAGGGCTGTGGGAACAAGGCTGTCAGCCTGAGGGGCTGCCCTGTGCCTTGACACTTCCTACTCCTCTGTCCTGGCAGGAGACAGCTCTGAGCAAAACAACCAGGAGAAACCAATGGGGCTTTTCTGGAAAAGCTACTTCCTGGCTGATTCAATGCCAGAACAACAGGGATCCCTGCTCATGGACTCCCCCAGGGCTTGGATCACACAAACACTGTCCTGGAAAACAGCAGACAAAAAAGGGTTTAGAAAGTGAGGCAAGAATAGAGATTTGTACTTGGGTTTGATTTTCCTTCCAGGCAAGGATCCTTGCCAGAAGGGGGATTATTGCCTTGGATACACCAAGATCCTTCCAGACCTTTAATGTCTCTAAGAGGACAAGATCTGGGCTTGGAGCCAAGGCTGGAATACATCAGTGGGCTCCCACTCACAGGGTGCAGAGGCTCAGCAGGAGCTGCACTCAGTCAAGAGCTCACTCCTGACTGAGGGAGGTTGTTGCATTCCCTTATTTTTTTACTCTACTAGTGTAAACACTGGTTGGATTTGCAACTTCACTGGCCACAGACTCAAAAACACCCAAAATGCCTCACATGTGTGTGCTGTGGCCTTAGTGCTGGGACTGGTGAAAGCATCCCCAGAAATTCCTGACAGATCCTTGCTTCCATTCCAGTCCTGTCTGACTCCAACTTCGTGCAAGTGGAGATGTGGGTAAATGCACCCTGAGTAAAAACATCTTTCTGGGTCCAGGTTCACACATCTCTGCTGGAATGCAGGATAGACCCAACAGGAGGAGAGGCAGCTGGGAGGTTTCCTGATACCCCACACAGTACTGTGATTCCTCCATGCAAGGCAACGAGATACAGGGGAGTCAGCCCCAGCAGCTGGAGAAGCCCAGAAATCCAAGTCCTTTCATTGGTGCAGGACTCATTCTGCCTGGAAGTCCCTGACGAAGAGGCATCTCTGGGCTTGCACAGTGGCCTGCATTGGTCTGCACTAGCTAAAAAAATACACCTGATGCCTCAGCTGAGTCCCAGGGTACATCAGTCCAGGTTCTAAATGGAGTCACAGAGTCCTGAGGACTGAGAGCAGGTTCCCACTCCTCCCTCTGGCTGTGCCTCCAGGGCAGCTCCCAGGCAGAGCTGAGATTGGGAATGGGAGTGGGATTGGGGTCTGGATTGAGAACAGGGCTGGGAGATTTCTCCCACGGACCACAGCCTGTGGACAGTTGAGCAGCCTCAGCCCAATTTGAGACCAAAAGAACAAGTCACTGCCCTTACTCCTTGGTCTGTGCTTCAGAGGCAGATGGGGGCTGTGCTCCTTCTGGGAACACCTTTGCAGCCTCATGCTGTTCCTAATGTCCTTCTGGTTGCTACAGTCTGCCCTCCAGCCAGTCCCTCTCTGTCCCTGATGGTTCTTGGTCTGAGTGCCTGTCCTAGGGTGACTTTCTGATGCTTGTATCCCCAGTCATCTGTTCTGTTTATCCTGGATATTCTGTGCCTTCAAGACTGGTTCTGAGGGCGAAGGCAGAGAGAAGACGAAGCACGGAGTTGGTTATCAGAGACTGCACTCCTCTAAAAGCAACACTCCACATTCTGCACTGGACTGTGCTGTCTGGGCACGGACGGAGCAGAAGAGAGCACTTCTTTGCTTTTTAGCTAGTTTAGCCAGTTGGAGGCAGAGAAGTTTTCCCTGGACTGTTGTTTTTTCTTTCCCTTTTCTTGGACCTGTTTGAACCTGCGCCGGACCTGGACCGGAGCAGCGAGAGCTTTCACTTTGTGACCTACTCTGGGCAGCAGCATTTCCCAGTGCCGGAGGGACTGATAACAGAGCGACCAGCCACAGGAGAGACTTTCTGAAGTTGTCATCTCTTCAGAGCAGCAAATGAGCTTTGTTGTCTGGTATTGTTCATTTTTTTTGTGCTGGGGAGTGCTTTGCCTGTTAAATAAACAGGACATTTCTCCAAGGACATTTTCCCTGAACCGGTTGGGGAGAGGGGCAGTGTGGGTTGCCTTTCTGGGGGAGCCCCTTTTTAGTTCTTCTCCCAGATTTGCCCTACACCAGGACAGTGCCTCTGCAGAGGAACCCCACTGGCTTCCAGTGCTCCCTCAGGGGCAGGTCACGACCCCCAGGGCTTCTGCCTGGGCTGAGACCAATGTTGTGCTGTAGCAGCTCTGGAGTCTGTTGTGGGATTGTTTGTGCATTGCTCAGGGCTGGTGTGCGCTGGACCAATCCCAAAGCTATTCAATGTTTGTGGTTTGAATGGCCCCCTGCACTTGCTGTTGTCTGAGAAGCTTGCAGATGGGAGCAGAGAACCCTGTCCCTAACCCCTCCCTTTGGACCGCAGCCTGTTTCAGTATCTACACGATCATTGTGTTCTTCCTGTTATTACCCAACCACATATGGAGCTGCAGGGCCGCCGACCAGTGCTCCCAGATGTGCTTATCCATGTTTTACAAAGCCGTTTTGAAGCCCTGAGTCCCACAGAACAAAAGAACAAAGAACAAGACCCACCTCTCAGAGCCACCAGCGAGTATACTTCTCCTGCTCCAGTGTCTCCTTTGATCCCTCATTCAACCCTGCAAACCTCACCCAGGTGGCCCTATCTCCGAGCCTTTTGTTGGAAGAGATAGATTAGAAAACCCCTCTCCTTTGTCTGGGGAAGTGGAGCTCCCCTGCACTGCTGGGTGACTTAATGCACTCTCCACCTCCTCTTTTCCTCTTTGTACTCACATTCCACTCTGCCCCCAGGGATTGTTTCTCCTGCTCCATGGTAGGAACAAGCTTTTCTCTGCCCAGCTGGGATGGGTGCCAGCATGCCCTCTCTTTCCTGGGAGTCTGTGTCTGTGCTTCTCCTTGGAGGAAGGCCATGTCTCTCTGAGTCACTGAGCTGAAGCCCATGTCCACACTAGCTGCAGGGGATGTAGAAATATAGACTAGAGTCTTCAGGTGCCTCAGGCATGCTGGTGCCACATCCTCATCCAGCTTTACCTGGGCTTAAGCTCATCTGTGTTTATCCAGGTATGGGGTGATCCAAAGACACCAGTACAGTAGGGAGTTTGGCTCCTGAGAGATCAATCCTGTGAGATCAGACTTTGCTGCTGTGGCCCTATCGCAGTGGTGAAACAGGATGTAATCATGAAAAATTTGCATTAAATTGTGGGGAACTTATTGCTGCCCCACAGCAAATTCTGCTCCTGCACTTGGTGGATTGTCTAGTTATTTCAGATTTCAATGCCATTTTCATATCTGGTTATGCTGAGGGGATCTTGTCCCTCCCACTATCAAAGCAGTTCCCTAAAAATTCATGGCATACCTCTGTCCCTGGGAATGGTCAAGGAAGGATGAATGTATGGAGAGCAGTGCTGTGGAGATCAACAGAGGTGATAGAGGTGAGACACTGGCAGGCAGACAGATGGCAAGCAGGGTGGCAGGCAGATAGGTGACAGCATGGCAGGTAGAAAGGCACCAGAGTAATAGTGTGGCAGGGCAACCTGGCTGTGCCGGGCTGGCTCTCCATACAACTGCTTGCTCATTGAACCTGTTCATTTGGGCAGATTGTATGCTTCACAACCTGAATTCTGCAGAGGTGTCATCTGTTCTTGCCTTTCTTTGATGGTGCCCAAAATCCACATTCCTGTTTCCTCAGACAAACAAGGCTGCTCTCACCTCCTGCCATTGGAGCGAGTTGCCTGCTTCATCTTCCATGGCAGAAAGCCTTCCCTGCCCCTCACTTGCTTTTTCACACTGAACTTTCTTGTGCCTGGAGCTCAGGCACTGCCCACCTGGGGCAGCCACCTCAGCGCAGACACCTGCTCCTCCCCAGGGACATGGCTGAGTTCCCTGTCAGTGAGTGGGGCTGCCCACACACCATGGGCAGAGGCACTGCCACCCTTGGTGCCCTGCTCTCCAGCCTGTGGTGCCTTGACAGGGCTACATGAGAAAGGAAAACTGACATGAGCACCACCCCACCCACCCCTCTTATTGGGGCAGCAGCTGGCAGTGCCTGACCCTGGCTGGGCTGAGCTCAGACAGCCATGTTGGGGTGCTCCCCACCTGAATGTACTGTCACGGGGTATTTGGGTATTTCTCTGGCTACACATGTGTTTGCCTGGCTGATATTCCCCTGGGAATGGGAGTATTTCCACCCCAGCATGTCCAAACTTTTGGTGCCTTCCTGTTTGCACTGGAGGTTGAGTATCCTGGGACACCAGTGACTGTCCAGGGCTTGGCACGGGCTCCCTCAGACCTCAGACCCTACCCCCTTGGGGCTGAAAGAAGGTAGCAAGAGTGACCCCATGAAGAGGAGGAGCAGCCCACCCTTTGGAGGGAAGGGATGTCAGCTCCCATTTCAAAGCCACCCATGGACAGCCTGGGCATAGGATGGCCAAGTCTGCACAAGACCAAGGTATGGAGGACACATATCTCCCAGGATGGGACCCACCAAAACAAGGTCCACCTGAGGAGCAGGGGGACCATCCCTACTCCCACAGGGCTCCTCCAACCCTGTTTCTGCTCCCTACCATCCAGAAAAGAGATTTTTTTTGTTCCTTTTTAGTTTTTGAAGGCTTCATTGCTTGTCCATCTAAAGGCAAAGCAGGAGGTTTGAGAAAGGGATTAAGTGCAATCCAGAAAAAATCTCTCTATGATAATCCCTGGTGCAGTTGCACTGTGCAGGATGGCAGGTGATTGCCTCAGAAGGTGAGATTGGCAGCATGAAGAGTCAATAATAGGCAGGTATTTTTCCCATAGAAACTTGAGAAGAGTCAGCTGGGAAGGCAGAAAGGCAGAGGAAATGATGCTGTGCTGAGCCTCAGGGACAGGACCGTGGTTTCCTGTGGCATAATCAGCAGCAAAAGGAAATAATTTTTTCACATAAATTAATGTATTAATGTTTTAGAATAGATTAACAGGGACTTTCCAGGGTTAAGTGCTTAATGAAGTGAAGTGAGGAGGTAAACCCCTGCAAACAGACTTACAGATTGAACACAGCAGTCCTGCAGAGAAGTCCTGCTCCACAGTAATGGGCACTGCCAGGGTCAAGGTGGGGACAGCACTGGAGCTCATCCCCTGTGGGACCTCCAGCTGCAGAACCTGTGCAATAGAGTGGCGCATCAGGGCTGGGGGCTCCTGCAACCACAAGGCCTGGGCAAAGGCTTAGTTCCATGAACACCTGAGCGCCCCAATACCACAGCGATGGGCAGGGAGCTCTGCAGAAGATGCAATGCTGCAATGTGTACTGTGCATGGGTCAGCTTTGAGCAGCAGGAAAGCTCCTTGCTTCAGGAAAGTGTTGAGTGAGGCAGGCATGAGGAGCCTCAGCTCACACCCTCAGTGTGAGGTTGTGACTCTCAGCCTGCAACCCAGCTGCTCTAGGAGCCCTGACCTCCAGCCTTCTCTCCTTGTTTATTATTTTGTTCACTGTCATATCCCACAGTGTAAGCAAGCTGCAAATGTCCTTCTGAGAGGAAGGAACCAAACCTCCTTTGGCTCACTGCTCCTTATGCAAATGAATCACATTATTCACTTGTGATGATATTGAAAACAGCCTCAATATACATCTGGGCTCCTCAGGGTTGTCACGAAGTTCTTAAAAGCCACAGCTGTTAATCATTGTAGATGAGAGGTTCTTGGAGCTTTTCTGTATCTCAGGATGTTCCCAGGTCCCACTGAACCCATCCAAGGGCTAAATCTCAGGGAGGGGGAAAGATGGGGTTGAGCCCGGAGTCAAGGACCATGCCCAGAGGGGTATAGATGGGGGTGATCCCAATGACACAGGCTGTGCCCTGGGAGGAGGACCAGGATTGGGCTGAGCCCTCCCAGGAGCGGTGATGCTCGAGGGACAAAGCTGATTCTGGGGCCGGGGCGGTACCCGAGGGGCCGGGCCGGGGCTGCTCCTGGGCAAAAGAACCGTGCCGGGGGGGGGGTAGATCGGTCTGGTCTCGGAGCGGAGGGGGCAGGAAGATCTGAGCGCGGGTCCGCAGCAGCCGCAGGACTCAAAGCCCGGGCAGCCCCGCGCAGTGCACGGAGCCCGGTGTCCCGCCCGGGTGGGCCGAGGCGGCGCTGACTCAGCCGGGAGGGGCGGCGGAGGAGGAGCGGCTGGAGCCTCCGCTGCGAGCCGCTCACCTGCCCGGCTCCGCCATGGCCCGCCGCCTGGCCGCCCTGCTCCTGCTTCTCGCCCTCGGCTGCCTACTGGGCATCCTCGTCCTCCTCCTCGGCTCTGGGGACACACGGGGCCCGCCGGGCTTCAAGGTGAGCGGGGCGGCGCGGAGTGGTGGCGGGCACCGGGAGGTCCCGGGCTGCCGGAGCTGGGGGAGCCGCCGTGGGCACGTCGGTGTGCGGCATTCCCGGTGTGCGGCATTCCCGGTGCGTGGCAATGCTGCCGCGGGACAGACGCCGGCAGCAGAGGATCCCCAGCGTCACGAGAGGCGCCGGGGCTGAGGGGTCCCTCATCTGCGGGGAGGGCCGCAGGGAACAGCCCCCGCCGGGTGCGCAGGGATGGAGCTGCCCCAGGAGGAGACCCGTTGCGTGGCATCTCCGCTGCGGGACCCGCCGGCTGCGGGACCCTCGGCCGTTCATCCTTTGTGCTTTAAAGCGCTTTGGGAGGGGAATCTGTTTGACACACTGAAAAATAGCGGCCCCCCCAGGTCAGAGCAGCCGAGTCAGCATCTGCTGCTGCTCTCCTGGGCCAGGGCTTCCCTGCGCACCCCAGCATCTTCCCGGTCTCCACTGCATTGCCTGAGCCAGTGCTGCTGGGTGAAAAATGCACTTTCCTTTGAATACAAGCTGCTGGGGTTTTTTTGCTTTTTCGTTGTAAATTCAGATAATGAAAAAGGTTCTTGAACAATTTATTGTTGGCCAAGTACTCCCTTTTTGCAGGACAAGTCTTTTGTTTTTAAAATAATCCCAGGCTCTTGTCCTGAAAAATATTTCATCTAAAACCCTCTTTTTCTTGTCCCAAGCAATTTACTTGGAAACTTTCTGAGCCAGCCTGCATACCAGATGTGCTGCTGCCTTCTCTCTGGGTTTGTCAGATGTAATGAAGACTAGAATGAGAAAACAAGCTGGCTTAGCAACAATGACCCTTTTTGCTCTTAGTATAATTTCCAATTTTATCTCCTTCTCTGTGACACCTTTCTTGGCCACCTGTTACTACATGCTGGGGCATCTTGGGCAGTGCCCTGAGCTGGTTTCAAAGTAGATTTTATCTTTTGGAACATGGAGGAATTAGATTGGTACAAAGACCCCCAAGTAGCACTTGGATCAGCCTGGAAAGCCTTTCTTCTTCCTGGTTCCAAGATGGACTTTTGGTTTTAAACCAAAATAATTTCCAGAAACTTTTCTCTTGTGCTTTTTTTGGTGCTTTTTCTCAGAGTGGTAGCACCTTCTAGTCTGCAGGCACTGCTGCGGTTTGGGGCCAAGCGTCCCTGAACACCCACCTGGGTCCTGACCCTGTTCTGCACAAGGCCTGGCTCAGGGACATAGGGCTCCTGGACATGCCAAGTGCTATAAGGTCCAGCATGGTGTGTGCTTCAGTGTCCAGCAGTGCCTGTTCCCATTGGGCTGGCACTAGGAAGCTGCTGAGGAATTTCTTTCACACAAAGCCCAGTACTGTTTGGAGAATGCAGAACTTTTGTGTTATTTTAACTCAGCCCAAAAGATGCCCACGTGGTTTAGAGGTCAGTCCTGCTATGGGAGACCCTGGGCACATCTTCTGACGGCCTGGACAAGATGTGGTCATTGCTGACTCAGTGCATGTTAGCTGCTGGATAGTGCTGTTCACTGCTGAGCTACAGTTCCACATTTTCCCTTTCCAGCTCCTTTGCATGGAATATAGCCCTAAAACCACCCTTGATTAGTTATCTTGCTGCTGAGGGACTGATCCTTCCCTCATGGGTCCGCAATGGAGCTCACAGCCTGACTGCCCTGAGCTGCTGCCTGCTCTTGACAGCCCTTTTCTTTCTTCTTTTGGCAAATGTATCTCTGGCAATTTTTATGTCCTGTGGCTGCTGTGGCTACTGCAGCAGGAAGGAAATCTGTCACAACTCACTGCAAACCTGGATGCTACATGCTCTCCTTCAGAGAGGCAGAATGGTGGGAGGCCAGGGATGAGCCCCTCATGTGGCATGGGCAGCCTAGAGGGATGGGGGCTGGAGTCCTGGGCATGGCCATGGGGCACAGTACCAGGCAGCAGCACATGGGCCATTCTCAATGTCCCCATCTGCCTCCTCCCCTGGGCAGAGCCATACACTGATCAGGACCCCAAGCACTATTCATGGCCTTTGGGAACATGACTGTCTTCTGTGCCCCCTCTACAGGGGCTTCAGGACTGAGCAGCCCTGACTGGGGCTGGCCTGAGTGACGTTGCATTGGGGCAGAGCCCTTGGGACTATGGGTGACCACAGAGGCAGCAGAGATAGGGCTACCATTGGAAAACTGTCCCAGTGTGGGGCCACAGTGGAGATCCCTCTGTGTCCCCCCTGCCTGCAGCATCACCAGGGTCTGGTCAGAGGGTTCTGTTAGAAAAATCCCTGTGTCACTAGGAGATGCTGGTGTTGGGGACTGTTCCACATGCATGAGGCCCAGTCAAAGCCTTGGGCGCCAGCAGGCAAACATACTGAGGCAGATGAGAGGGGCGATGGAAGCAAGGTGCTGGCATGGGAGAGCGCCAGGGCATCCCTGTGTCTCCCCAGCCCTCATTTGCAGTGTGCTTGTTAGCAGGCACAGGGAAGCTCAGTTGGCAGAGCTAAGGGCAGCACTTACACTGCAAATCACTATTGGGGTGGTTTTTATCCTCCCTCCTGGTGCTTCCCACCTGTAGGGCCCCTGGAGCCCACCTGCCCATCCCATGGCTCAGCCGTGACTCAGACCCACACAGCAGCGCACTCTGCTCTGGGGAATGCAGTGGCTCTGATGCCCAAGCCCAGGTTCTAGTCAGGAACAGAAGCTAAGACAGGGACAGGATCTGGGGCCAGGGGTTGGCACCATTGCACACCACTGTAGGTGACCCCATTCATGAGTTCTGTGTGAATGCTGGAGGCATGGGGTACCCCTGGGACTGGAGGAGACAACATTTCTTCATCATTGGGAACATACTAGGCTGCCCATGTCTGCCTCAGTGCCTTCATGCACCATGAGCATGATTCCTACCCCTGTTTACCACAACTGGCAAAGATGTCTTCTCCACAGGGACAAGCTGGGATGCCAAACCCTGTGTCCTCATGAGGGGGCTGGCATGAGGCTGCGGTGGCTCCTCTCCTGCTGGGGTGGCTGTGGAGTGAGCTGTGGCAGCAGCTGGCCAGGCACTCTCTGCAGAGGCAGCACCATTGTGTTGCAGCACCTTACCTCAGCCAGGCCAAGTGCTGCTGCCACCATCGCCAAGGCTGGGGAACCCACAGGATACGCTTCACTCACCACTCCACACCTGGTGGCAATGGGCTGGGGATCAAAGAGGAGATACCCCCCCACCCCGACCCACAGGTGTTGGCAGCAAAGGGCACTAGGGTGTGCCTACATGGCACAGCCAGTTCTGCATCCTGCCCCAGCAGTGCCACTGTCACACCAACATGTCACCTCTGCATGGGACTTGCTCTGGGTGCAGGTTCCGTGCTGCCTCTCACTGCCTGCAATGCACTGGTGGTATGTGTGCCCACGCACACATATGCACACGCCCCTCCTAAATGCATGTGTGCACAGACACGTGCACCCATGTGCACACATGCTGGCACACCCATGTGCATGCACACCTCATCCGTGCACACCCACATGTAAGCACCCCCACATACCTGCATCCACACCTAAAGCTGCACACACCTTTGCATGCCCAGGCACAAACACACAAACATGCACAATCCTGCAGCATGTAGGCCACATGCACATATACATGCATGCACATGTGCACATACATGTGTGTACCTCTCTACATGTGCAACTCCACCCCAGGAATGTATCCCCATGAATACATCCTGGTACCAGCTCTCCAGGAGATGGGAAGTGTGGCACAGCCAAGCCACCCCTGCTGAGAGCAGGAAGAAACCCGGGAACCGGCCTTCTCCCTTTCATTGGTGGTGGGTCTCCTCCTGCTCATCCTAGAGCCAGCCACACCGCCACGTCCCTTCCTGCCATGGGGTGAGTCTGGCGTCCCCAGCATCCCCCTCCCAGGCTGACCGCACTCCTGGTGGGCGGCACCAGGTATCCCTGGCACTGCAGGTCATCCTTATTGTTTCATACTCCAGCATCTCTCAGCCCTTACCACCATGTAGATATCCCTGTCTCCAACCTTGTCCCTCTCTGTGGACTTCAGCCCCTCCACAGCATCTCGGGGCTGGAGTCTACTCCTAGGGTCTTGGCTGTGCTCAGCCCCAGGTTTGGGGGTGACCTATTGATGCTTTCCCGTTGGGGACAGCCTTGTCACCCTGCTCCTGCTACTGTCACTCCAGGTGATATTTGGGGTAATGTGGTGCCTTGTGAGCAAACCAGAGCCATCTGCATGGTAAAACAGGGTGTGGGCACATGTACCACTGAGGTGGACTGATGGGGTCCCCTGGGGCTGGACCCTCCTCAGACTCCTCTGTGCTTGGTCGGTGACTGCTCACCTGGGGACACAGGGGTGACCGCGGGACCCCAGGGAGGCGAGGCAAGGCAGAGGTTGCTCTGGTGAGAATGGACTGGGGTGCCATGTGCTGGGTAAAGAGGGTGTTGAGAGCCCTCTAAGCCGGCCCGGAGCACTCACCCCAGCACCCAGCCCAGGAGGCTGGGGAGAGGTGCTGGGGGGACTTGTCAGCCTCTTTCCTCCTCTCTGCAGTGTTTGTCAGGAGCTGAAACTACTCCGCTGCTCCAGCCTGGCCACAGAGGGGGATTCTCTGCTGGCTTTTAGCTTCTGGCCCAGAGCATGAGCAAATCACTGGGCGAGTCTGGGAGGGTCACCCACGTGAGATGGTCCCCTGAGGGAGCAGGAGGTACCACCGGTGCAGGGCCATGGGTTCACGGTGTAATTGAGTCTACTTAAAAGTGGGGACCTCAGGTGTCCCTGACACTTCTGTTGCCTGAGCTGGTGAAAACCAGGTGATAGGGACAGGGGTAGCATGGGGCACCCAAGGCAGGCAGGGCTGGGGTGGCTTCCAGAGCCTGGCAGGGAGAGGAGCTGCCTGCTCCAGCCCTTGGCTCTATTGAGTCTGAGCAGGGCAGGAGCAGACAGAGACACTTAAGTTTAAGCTTTAGCTGGCTTCACCCCAGAGATGCTCAGCTGGGTTGGTGCTGGGTCCTGCCTTGCTTTTCCCCATACTCACAGCCCTGAGGAGGCACAGTGGGGGCCAGCATGGGCAATCCCTAGACCATGGGCAGCAGGGGCCAGGCAGAGGGGTACGCATAGGGGTGCTGCAGGCAGCATGTATGGTGTCCCATCCCTGGGAGCTGGGTAACCTTGTTTAGCAGGAGGAGCTGGGTTATTTATAGCCAGAGAATAGCCAAGCCATACAAGGGAAGGAGGGATGAGAGGCCTTGCTGCCCTTCTTTGGCCAAGAGCATCCCAAGGAGGCATTTCAGGTGTCTCTCCCCACCACCAGTCCCAGGGACCGGCTAGCATGACTCAGCAGGCAGCCGGGAGTGATGGTAGCCTGCAGTGGAAGAAGAGCCCCCTGAGATGCACTCAAGGGGTCCCCTAACCCAAAAAGCCAGAGTCCCTGTTCCAAATAGCATTCCAGAATGGCCAGTATCCCACTCCCAGTGACAGTGCCCTCTTTGGGCAGGTGTGGGCCCAGCAGTGCCTGGCTGGGCTGAGCAAATCTGCCTCCAACAGATGATGCTCTGGAGCTGCTGGGCACTGACAGGGTAGGAGTATGGACTGTGTTGAGCTCAGTGCCTTCCCTTGGTAAGGGCTGGAGCAGCCAGGGGACCTTCAGCCTCCAGGTCTGACCCACTGCCTTCCCCCTGCAGTACGGCATTGTGCTGGATGCTGGGTCCTCCCACACCGCCATGTTCGTCTACAAGTGGCCTGCAGACAAGGAGAATGACACCGGGGTGGTCAGCGAGCACACCATGTGTGATGTGGAGGGTAAGGGCTCGCCCTGGCTGGGGGTTGGTGGCAGTGTCTGTTGTATCCTTGTGCAGGGCAGCATGGTGTGAGTGCCCCTGCCATGCCCAGCTGCCTCCCTCTGTATTTACCAGCGTAGTGACGTGTTCTGAAGGGTTCAACTCTATTCCTAAAACGTCCCCCAACTCCCCACAAGGCTTGCAGCTGTGCATGCTTGTGATTAATATTTTCCTGGCAGGTACTGAACCACCAGGGAACAATCCAGCTCCCTGCCTAGCCCAGTGAGGAACCAGGGTTGGTTTTTCACTCTCCATTTATCAACCTTTCCCAGACTGTCAGCCAGCAGGGGTTGCAGTGTGGGCAAGGAGATGTGGCTGGACCCTGGATTGCTCCATGCCCACAGAAAACTGCCTTTTGGACAGACTGGAAGGGGGAAAGCTGCTCACCAGGCATCTTCCCAGAGCATCATCCCCTCACCAGCAGGGAGCAATTCTGTTTCCCCTTCACAGGTCCTGGCATCTCCAGCTACAGCTCAAACCCTCTGGCAGCTGGGACAAGCCTGGAGCACTGCCTGAACCAGGCCCTGAGAGATGTACCCAAGGAGAAGCACACGGGCACCCCGCTTTACCTGGGTGCCACGGCTGGCATGCGCCTACTCAAGTGAGTGCTCAGGGGGGCCCTGTTGTGCCACTCTGACATGGCAGCTTGCCACACACAGTGGGGATGGAGGTGGTGAAGGATGGCTGAAGTGTTGCCTCTTCGCTGGGAAAGCTCTTCACCACCCACCTGCCCCGTGCTGTGTCCCCTGCAGAAGTGGTCATGCCTTTCAGAGCAGGATATGCTCTGCAGGGCACAGCCAGCACAGTGCTAGTGGGGGCTGGTGGGGGGGCCAGCACCAGGACAACCCATCCAGACTTTTTGGATGCTAGGAGGAAAACCCCTTGCACCCACTGCCAGCCTGATGGGACATAGTGAGAATAATCACCCCTCAAAAAGCACACAAGGGGAGGAGTTGTGCTCCCCCCACTCAGCCCAGGCAGGATGGATTTCATTGTCCCAAGCAGGGAGGAGCACACTTCATTCCTGCTACTTGCCTCCTCCAGCAGAGACAAAGGGAACTAGCTAGTGGTTTTTTGGGACATGCCTATGAGTACCCAGGCAAGTACTCACCTCTCTCCTGGACCATGCTATGGCAGTGCTGGCCCTCAAGGGCTGTTAGGATAGGGAAGGCTCTGCAGCACTGTGGCACAGGTCTGTCACTCTGCCCTCTCACTTGGCCCACAGCATTGCGGACCCACAGGCGTCGGACGCTGTCCTCAGAGCTGCAGCAGCCACGCTGAAGATGTACCCCTTTGATTTCCGGGGAGCAAAGATCCTGTCAGGGGAAGAGGAAGGGGTCTTTGGCTGGGTCACTACAAACTATCTCCTGGAGAACTTCATCAAGGTGGGCATATAGTGACATCCAGTGGGATGGCTGTAGTGGCTGGGCAGCTCATCATATGCTTATGCCTGCTCTTGTCCTCCTTGGCTCAGCGTGGATGGCTCGGAGAATGGATCCAGCCACAGAAAAAGACCCTGGGGGCCATGGACTTTGGAGGTGCTTCCACGCAGATCACCTTTGAAACCATGGACACAATTGAAAACCCCAGAAACGAGGTGATGTTGAAGCTGTATGGCCAGGCATACAAAGTGTACACGCACAGCTTTCTCTGCTATGGGAGGGACCAGGTCCTCAAGAGACTGCTCTCCAAGTTCCTCCAGGTACAGTGTATGCTTGATGTGGATGCTGGCTATCACGACCCCACAGCTGCCCCCTCACCTCGGTCTTTACACTGTCCCTCAGCCCTGGACCAGCTGCACACCTTTACCAACTTGGGTTTTGCCCCAGCCCTCTCCTGTGTTCCCAGGGCTTTCTCCCACTATCTCCATTAGATGATGCAGCCCTTGGCTAGAGCCAAGACACCCCAAGCCATTTTGAGATACTTTTGTCAACTGCTCCGTGTCTGGCTGCTCAAGCTCTGGGGGAGCTGTGCTATGCACAGCTCATGCACCCCATGTGTCCCTCCTCTGGCAGGCTGAGAGCTACCAAGAAACTGTCTCACATCCCTGCTGGCCTATGGGCTACAACAAGAGCCTGTTGATGAGCAGCATCTATGACAGTCCCTGCACACTGAAGGAGAGGCCAAGCCTTGCTCTCAACACCACTGTTACCTTGGTCGGCACTGGGAATGGGAACCTCTGTGCTCTGCATGTCAGCAAGCTCTTTGACTTCACCAACTGCTCCTTCTCTCACTGCTCCTTTGATGGTGTTTTCCAGCCAAAGGTTTCAGGAAACTTCATTGTAAGTCGCATAAGAGGAGGGTGGTGACCCGGCTGCTGGCTGGGCAGCTCCCCAGCATCATGTCACAACAAAATCAGACTCCCAGCTCTGCAACAGCAGTAGTTGGTGCCCACCACACTGGCCAGAGTGTCTGCTCATGGTCAGAGAGTTTACTCCTAGCCTGTCTCACAGCTGCACCTTTCCCTCTATCAGGCCTTCTCTGCCTTCTTCTACACGGTGGATTTCATACAGACCGTGATGGGAAGACCTGTGCACCTGCCCAGCGACCTGAAGGATGCTGCAGAGACCATCTGTGCCACCAGCTGGAGTAAGGTGGGCTCCTTGGACATCATGGGAAGGAGGGGGCTGCTTCATGTGGGGTATCACCTAGGCTTTCAGACAAGCCCTTGGAGGTCACTGGGTTTCCTCACACCAATGGAGTAGGAGGAAGGCAATTGATGGCTCCTACATGGGACTGGGAGGGGTCTAAGGTGGGTATGGGTAGCCTTGGCCTCACAGATGTAACCGCACTGAGTTTCAGACACAGACACAAGCCTGGCCACTGCTGGTTTGACCCCTCTTCTCTTTCCCTCTGTGCATCTCATCCAGCTGCTCCTGAAAGCCCCAAAGCTGGAGAAAAGGCTGCCAGATTACTGCGCTGTCAGCACATTTGTGTATTTACTCACCACTAAAGGCTACAGCTTCAACAACCACTCCTTCCCCAACATTGCCTTCCAAAAGAAGGTGGGTAGCACCAAAATACATCCCCATCCCATGGGATCTCTTTGGAGTTAGGCCAAAGAACCCTGCAGCAGAGATGATCCCACATGGAAAAAGAGCCAAGCAGAATCCAGGAACATCTCAGTGAACAGGAGCAGGATGGAACTCTCAGTTTTTGGAGGGATCTCCTAGGAGATGGAAACAAATGATCTGAGCTGGCTGCACCTGTGGGCAAGCAGAGGCTCGAGGGGGCTGTGGGCTCCCCACACTCTTCTCCCTTGGGCTGACACTGAAGCTGTCCCAGAAGGTTCTGTAGCACAAGTCTTACGAGGAGCAGCTGAGAGAGCTGGGGTGACTCAGCCTGGAGAAAAGAAAGCTCAAGGGGGACCTTCTCACCCTCTACAACACCCTGACAGCAGGTTGTAGTCAGGTGGGGGTTGGTCTCTTCTCACAAGTAACATGTCAAAGGACAAGGAAATGGCCTCAGATTGTGCCAGGGGAAGTTTCAGTTATATTTAAAGAAAAATTACTTCATGAAAAGTGGGCAAGCATTGGAACTGGCTGCCCACGGACAGGGTAGTTACCATCCCTGGAGCGATTTGGAACATGTGCAGATGTGGCACTTGGGGACATGGTTTAATCATGGCCTTGGCAGTGCTGGCATTACTAGTTGGACTCCATGATCTTAGTTATCTTTTCTAACTTCAGTGATTCCATGATTCTATGGTCTCCTGAGGCCCATGCAGCTGGGCTGGCTGGATGGTGACCATGCCATGCTGTTTCCACAGGCAGGAGAAACCTCTATTGGCTGGGCCCTGGGCTACATGCTGAACCTCACTAACATGATCCCGGCAGAGAAGCCCTCCTCCCACAAAAGCATGCTGTACAATTACTGGGTCATCCTCATCCTGCTCTTCGTGGTCACCACCCTGACATCCCTGGTGACTGCCATCTGCCTGCTCCGGCACAGCAAGTCCAGCATAATCTGATGGCAGGGACAGGGTGAGCCATATCTGCAGGACCAGCACCATCCTACCTGCTGGAGGCTCCATGGTCTGAATGCTTGGGATGTGGCAAGCACTCAATGTCCTCCTCCAAAACCTGACACCATCCCAGAAGGGTATCTGTGTCCTTTTGCCCTCCCCTTGCCCTCAAGCTGCGGGAAAGGAAGGACAGAAGAGGATCAGTGGTCCTGTGGGAGAAGAGCTTAAATGTTTCCCAGCACTACTCAGGGATGCACTCTGGAGCAGGCTTGGAAATAGGACATTCAGAGCTAAGATATATTTTTGCCACCAGAGCTGAGCTGAACTGGACCAATGAGCCCAAGCAACAACAGGATTAATTTTCATTAATTTTCATGTGTATGTGTATGAATGGGGAATATTACTTACACTAGTCCTTATAGCCAACTTTGCTAGCCTGTCCCTGGAGCCTTCTCAGGAGCTCAGGGCATCACCCAAAGCTCACATTGTCTTCCTGGCTGATGTACAAACCCCACTGACCTTCCTGAAGGCAAGGTCTTTTCCTTGGCCATTGGCCTCAGCTTTGGGTATGGACCTAGCAACAACCAGATGTGGGAAGATGGCAGCTTCCAGGTCCCACTTCAACAACCAGACATGATGTCTTCACTATCCCTGTGGTTTCTATGCCAGACTTGTCTTTGCCACAGCCAGAGACTCCTGCACACCCTAGTTCCTGTAGCTCTGTGCTGCATGGCCATGCTGGCACAGAGCCAATGAGCTCCTGCACTGTGGAGCTTTGCTCTGCACTGGGATTTGAGCCTAGCATCACCCCACACCAGGCAACGAGGAGGATGCACCTTCATTGCCAATTGAGTAAGAACAGGGATGTACAAATATGAAGAAGGTTTGGTTTTGTTTGATTTTTTTAATAATCTGAAATAAACCTTTGTAACCACTGCTATGGCTCAGTGGCTTGTGATCAGCAACAGGCAGTTCAGCCTGGCTGTCCTATGGGACACATCTACTGGTCAGGCTCTGCCCGAACATCTCATCCCTTGCAGCCTGTCCAGTGCTGAGACACTGTCACAGCTCTGTGCACTCTACCAGCCTGGAGATGACCTCAAATAGACCAAGGTGGGCTAAAAACCTCAGTCCAGACCCAGGCCCACCTGGAGGTGGAGGAGCTCCAGTCAGCCACAGTCACAAAGCTCATGCTTCCCCAGTGCTGGAGGTGCAGTCACCCCAAAGCCAGGAGCAGGCAGCTCAAGCTGTCCCTCACTGCCAGTCCCCAGCAAAACAACCTGCCAGCAGCCTCCACTGCCAGGGCCCAGTGCTGGTGCTCAAGGGTGGCAGCAAAGCAGCTCACATTTGCTGCTGCAGTCACTGGCAGCTCAGGATATACGTCACAGTGCTCAGCAGCTGCATGGGACTGGTCCCAGCCCTCCAATCCTTTGGGAAGCCTCTCCCTGCCCTGCACGTTCCACAAACACTAGAAAGGAGTGGCTGTAGGGAGCTGCAGTTTCTCACCAACCTCTTTGCTCCTGCTGGCAGCACCAATTCTGCTCTATGCGTTTGCTCACTTCCCATCCACCCTGCTCCAGCTGAACTCCTGGAATGCCATGCTTGATTTAACACACCTGCTCCCTGCAGCACTTTACTTTCAGCTCTTCCACTGTGTCATGGTTTAACACTGGCTGCTCTCCATCTCTCTGCACAGGGCAAACCTGATTCCAGTTCAGAGGATGCCATGAGCCTCCAAGCCCAGCTTCCTCCCCAGGCTCATCTCCTCAGCACAGGGACTCCCTCCTGTGGTGACGTTCAGGGCCTGTCTCTCCCACGGAGAAGGCACTTCTGGTTCCTGAAGTTGAAACACTGCTCTAAGAACCTGGGCAGCTCCCAGAATTCAGGCTGGGTTTTTTCTTCTAAGAAACTCAGCTGCAGCTGAATCAGAGCTGGATGTCCACCAAGAGCAGACAATTTACCTAGTCACAATTTGGAGTCTGACATGGAAAAACCCAACATGCTCCACTGTGTGCATGGGATTCGAAAAAGTACCATTACCTTGCCAAGTAGTTATGGATCTGGATGGGCAATCTGGGACTAGCCAGTGACAGGTGAGCACTGCAGAGAGGGACCCTGGGCACATGGTCACCTCTGTTGCAGGGCAAGGGGACACCCCAGAGGCCACCCAGCTGTGGGACTCAGTTCAGGTCTGTTCATGTAGGTATGAAAAGCCTTGCTGCTGTTGTGGAAGGGACATGGGGACTGGCTGGACTCAGAAAACACAGGTGACACAGCAACAGCTCTGCCCTCACAACTCAGCCAAGACCTGTCTGCGCCTGCAGTCTCAGAGCAATACAAGTGGTGACTGTGACTGCTATCACCACAGAGGGACCAGAGCTCTCTGCTCAAACATTCACTGCAGAGGTTGCCTCAGACTGACATTCACCACCTGCTCTTCCCTTCACCTCATCCACAACGAGTGCATTCAGCTCTGAACTTTTATTGTACGCCCAGTGCAATGTGCAGAGGCCATGGGGCAGGCAGCAATCCCTGAGGTGCCTCCACCACGCTCTCTCTTGCAGGATCAAGTCCTCTGAGCTTTTCAGAAGTGTCACCAAGCCCACCACCCTCATGGCGGGCAGTGTGATGGGCAGCGTCAGCTTGGACAGGCAGGAGAGGGTGAAGGACATGGGCATGGCAGGCTATGCTCTGCTGGCTACTCCACCACATCACCGTACCCGTTCCTCCTCACCAGTGTTGCAGCGCCGTCCCTGTCCTCTGCACTAGTGAGGTTTTCTGCAACAACAAAGTACAAGTTCCCTGGACCTCCAACTACCCTGGTGAGTTTGCCAAGCATGGGCAAAGAACCACAGAGCCTTGGAGAAGCATGTAAAGTCTCTTCAAGTCGGCCTAGCTTTAGAAGCTCAGGGTATGTATAGGAGAAAGCAGCAAGCAGCAACAAGAATTGTCCAGCAGCAGCTATCTGTCTTGATGCCCCTCCAATTCCACCCACCCTACTGAGCAGCAAATCCCTCCAAACCTCAGTTGCTCTCTCCATCCCTTACCTTCTCCTTCCTCTTCCAGCAAATGAGCCTTTTGTATTGGCTTTCACGAATACCCAAAATATGCAGGGCAGAAGGCAGCAGCAAGTACACCCAACCCACATCACCAGCCCTGCTCAGGAACCCACTGTGCCAGGTCCACAGAGGGACAGGGGAGGCATGAATCCAGGTAAGGAGCTCCACCCACCATGAGTGCTCCTGCTACACCCCTTGGCTACAGGGTGCCAGTGTGGGACTTAATAATGAGATTTTGGCAATGACACGGCCACCAGATAAATTACAAGACAGGAACAGCAAAGTAATGATTGCAGCAGGGAAGAACAAGGCACAAGAAGCTCAGGCAAAGTGGTAGGACGATATGACTATACCTGCAGGCTGAGATACCCCACCAGTCACAGCAAGCTCTTGTAGGGACTTGCCCGTCTCCAGATAAATCCAGAAGTTGGAGCATTTCTGCGTCTCAGCTCTGGTTACCACGTAGCTTCCGAGGGACCCTGCAGCTAGGGCGGCCGAGGTGCTCCTGGGAGTGCCAGGAGCACCACGGTGGGGACAGCACCTGCTGCCGCGAACCCTCCTGAGCCCTGGGGACCGGGGCACAGGGAGGTGGCTGGAGCCAGAGACGAGGCTCCACAACAATGGCAAACACCCCTCTGTACCGCTCGGGCTGGGCACTTACCCGCAGCCAACAGCAGGCTCCACTGCGGGCTGTACGGCAGCTTCTGCCGCGCCATCTTCTGCACCACGAAGGCGGCCCCGCTGCCTGCCGAGACCGGGACCAGGGTTACCAGACACGGCCGGGACGTCCCCGCTGCCCCCGGGGAGCGACCAAGGACAGCCCGGGGAATGCCGGGGTGGCTCGACCGGCCCGTACCTGCCAGGAAGGTGCCGATGCCCTTCATGAAGGCGTGAGACTGGCAGGCCGCGTACTGCTGCAGCGCCTGCGGGGAGGCGTCAGCGCAGGGCCGGAGGCCCACCCAGCTCCCTCATCCCCAGCCCCCTCATCCCCAGCCCCCTCATCCCCAGCCCCCTCATCCCCAGCCCCCTCATCCCCAGCCCTTCATCCCCAGCCCGCCCGCACTCCCAGGCCCCCCAGCCCGTCCCCCGCGGGGCGCACCGGGTGCTTGGCGGCCACTTCATCCTCCACCCGCCGCACGCCCAGGTTCACCATGGCGAGGCCGCCGGGCTCGGCCCCGAGCAAGACCCACCCCTTCCGCCGCGGCCATGGCGGAACTGGCCGGGCCGTTTCGTGTGCTCCGAACCGGGACAGGCCGATTCCTCTGCTACTGCGGACCCGGCGGCACCGTCTAGTGAGAGCGGGGCGGGAGAAGGAGCAGGTGGGAGGCGGGCACGGGGCCGGGCGGGGGTCGAGCAGCCCTGGCCTGAGGTGCTTCCTCCCGCAGTGTGACCGACGCGATGGAGGTCTGGGCCGGGGAGCTCGGTGGCTGCTCGGCGCTCGGCTGTGTATGTACCGGGGGGAAACGGGGGGCGGCGGGAGAGCCCAGGGCTGAGACCCGGGGTGCCGGTGGGGCAGGGATGGATCTGGACCCAGGCTAGGCCGTGTTGGACGCGCTCTCCTCCTCCTCTCCCCCTGCAGCGGTGCCCGCCGGAGGAGCTCGGTGCGATGCTCAGGTGGGTGCCACTGCCCTGCGACCTCCCTCGCTGCGGGCACCCTCGCGCCTGGGCTCCCCCAGCTCGCCCGGTGCCCCCCTCTCTCCCGCTCCCCTCACCCTCGCTCCCCGCAGGGCCGCCCTTGCTCACGGGGCTGCCGCGCTGAGCCGGGGCCCGGGTTCGGCCCCGCTCCGACTCCCAGAGCAGCCGCAGTGCCCGGCCCGGGCCCTCGCCCCGCTGCCTGCCGCCGACGCGCGCAGCCGGCTGCAGGCGCTGGTCTTCGGCATGGCCGGCTGCATCGAGAGCCTGGAGAGGCGCCTGGAAGGTCCGAGGTGGCTTTTAGAAGAGGGGAGGACTAGCCGCTCCTGCCACCTTCATGGGATCGTCATCCCCACCTGAAGTGCCCTGGGTGTCCCAGTTCAGCTGCAGCAGGAGAGGGCTTCACCCCAGGTAGTTTCTTCTCACCGGTCCCAGTAGGCCGGTAGAAGAGCTGCTGCCCGTCACTTCCCTGTTCAGGCTGGCCCATTCTCAAAGCTGGCCAGGGTCTGCACCAGACCTCCACAGGCAGAAGAGACCCTGCCTGGGCCCAGAGGATACAGTAGTCTGTCTCTATGTGGAAACACAGCCCTTGTCCTCACGGCCAGCACCACACTAGCATCCTGAATGTGGGAGTCACCTTACAGATCTTTGTTGGAGGAGTCTGGAGAGATTTTGGAGCAGCAGCAGTCTGGATGGAAGTGCTGAGAGGAGAATGGGGCTCAGTTTGGCTGTGGAGCTCGCTCGCTAGGGAGGCTTGAAGTGCTGCATGCAGAACTGGGGGGCGTTGTCACAAGCTTTGGCTCTAGCTCCCATCTCAGTAGCAGTGGAGGCATTAGCATCTTCCTGCAGCCCTGAGAAAAACACTGCCCAGAGTCAGCAGCTCTTCCTGCCAGGTAGGCACTGCCTGGGGCACCTGCCCTGCTCCTGCAATCTTTTGTCTTCTCCCTCCTGGAGGCTGCTGGTCCTGTATCCATGTGCTCTCCGGGATACTCTGGAGATACCCTCGGCTGTGGCTGCTGGCAGCCACCTGTTGTCCTGGTGCTCTTCCAGGCAGAGCAGGGGCAGGGCTTAGTGTGGTGGCTCTCAGGGTGTCTCAGGGATGGTCAGGTCAAAGGCTGGACATTGCCAGCCTCAGAAGGAGGGCAGGCTTTGCTGTGCTTCCAGACTGGAGGCTGTGATGGATTCATGGCTCCTTTTGGGAGAAGAGGCCTTGTCTGGCCCTTTCTTGCCCTCTGTGTCTGCTGGTTCTGCCAGGCTGGGCTCTTGGAGGCTCCCTCTGGCCGCGGAGGGACTGGCAGGGCTGCCAGAGCTCCTGGGTAACCTGTAACTTGTGCCCTGCCTGTTCCTGACCGAGGCAGACCCGAGCCCTAGGAAGAGTAAGGCTTCTGGCTCAGCTTTGCCAGCCAAAAGGAAGCTACCAGGAGAGTCTCTCATTAACCCTGGTTTCAAAAGGTCAGTGCTGGGGCTGGATGCTGCTCATTGGGCACCCCGCGGGCTGTGCTTTGAAGTTATGTAGCAGCAGGGCTTGGGGCTCGTGACTGATGTTTCCTCCATTTCCTTCCAGCAAGAAGGCGCCATTTTGAGGACTCCTGATGGCTGCTGTCCTGTGCCTTGATGACAGCCCTATGGACCCCTGTGTCTGAACAAGGAGGTGTTCCGGACCTGCTGAGCTCCTTGACAACAGAGGCAGCGGTACCTGGCAGCCACCCCTTAGCTTTCCCCTTTGGGGGGAGCAGTTGGAGCAGAGGGGACAGCTAGCTAGTCCCTGCCAGCAGCTCTTCCCTGCTGGCAGGGACTAGCTCCTGACTTCACTTACCATAAACTGGTGGAGTTTGGATGGAGCTTTGATGCCGTGGAATGGAAAGATTATCTGTACTTTGCTTCTTGCCAGTAAAGATGTTTTTAGCCAGCTGGTCTCTCTGGGTGTGTCTGTCCATTCTGCCTCTCCTGTTCTCAGGAAGCTTTGGGCCTGTTTCAGCTGAACCCAGATGTCCGGGCCTCAGAGAAGTTCCCTTCTCTGCCAGCTTTTTGCAAGTGGGCTGACGGATGTGGTTAGAACCTGGCCAACCTCTCTGGAGAGTTGGGAGGGTGGATTCTGCATTGCTGGGCACTGGGAGAGGATGAGGATGTCAATACAAAGCCTTGTGAGGGAGGAGCTGATGGGGTGGTCACTCCAGACTCACACTGGTCTTACTTGCAAAGCTTTTATTGATTTCCAGGAACTCTGAAGCTTAGCTTGGGCTTTCCCTGCTTCACAACCCCCAAGTCTATTGAGAGCTTCCTAATAGTGAGGGTGCTGACCTGTGCCCATTGCCTATGCTATCCCCCTCCATCTCTGTTCCTAGGTCTCTATGGCTGTGCCAGATCCCCTCACCTGGTGCAGGTGTGAGGGTACCCTGTGGTGCCTGCTGCCCAGGTGGGTGGCACAGTGTGCCTGCCTGTACAAGTGGCTGCAGGGCAGCTTGTTGTCCCGAACTCTGCCCCTGCCCTCAGCTGGGCACAGCTATGGCACCGATGGTGCCTGTGGCTGTGCCCCCTTGCCCTCATCGTCATGCTCAAGGAGCCACAGAGCTTGTCCTGGTTGTGAGGAAGGGTGGGTGGCACAAGAGGAGCTGAGTGTACTGCAGATTGCTGCCAGAACCTGTGTGCCAGTGGAGGGAATTTGGGTGCAAGGGGCACAGCTCTCCTGAGCCCCTGCAGGCAGGGGCAGGGTGGGCACTGACCTCCTGCCTGACTCCAGCCTTGGCCCCGCACCCACCAGGGCACGTGCCCGGCTCACTGCGGTGCCCGGACCACGGAACGATAGGCTTGTATAATCTCTTGGCTATTGGGGCAGGTGTATTGGAATTCCTTGGTTTCACTGGCACTGTTGAGGTACCGCCACACACCCTGCAGATCCTTGGGGATCCCAAAGTGGCGGTAGTGCTGGCACACGACCTGGAGGTACAAACAGGGGAGACTTGTCTGACACTATGCCAAGGAGGGCTCTACCACCAGGGCAGGCACCAGTTGGGAAGGGTGGGAGGGAGACAGAGACATTCATGGACAGCACAGTGGAGGGCTGGCACTCGGGATGCAGAGAGGAGTGGGATCTGTGGGAAGGCATGGTGTTGGGCAGGGCTCCTGGGGAAAGGGATGCTGCGGGCCACAGAACTGAGAGACCAACTGGGAAAGGAGCAGGGGCTTGCTGTAGGTACCAAGAGGAGAGTGAGGACATAGGGATGCCAGGGAAAGGAGAAGAGCATGGTACTGGGATGCCCATGGCTTACCTGAACAATGTTGAGCTTCGGCAGCAGGTTGCAGTCAGCCAGCGTGAGGCGGTCTCCGTCAAGGAAATGGCGCTGGGAGGCCCGGAGGTGGGGGTCCTGGGCCAGCTCGTGCTCCAGAGGGGTGCTCAGGTACTCATCCAGCTTCAGCAAGGCCCGCAGCAGGCTCCGCTGCAATGCTGCAGGGAGGGTGGCCAGGTCACAGTACAGCCCTGCTTGCGGGCATGGGGCCCCTGCTCTGCTGTGGCCTCCTGCCAGCCCAGCCCAGGTGTCCAGGCAGCACCTGTCAGCCTCTTCCCACCTGGCTCAGGCTGGCACCTGCCTCTGCCCTCCCACAGAGACCTGGCATAGTCACACTGGCCCGTGTGGAGAGGGCAGTACCTAGACAGACCTGACTGAACTGGTGGGGGGACTGGGAAAGCTCAGTGTGACCAGGCTAAGCTTTGGGGTGTGGCACCCAGAGGTTGCATGGGGTGCTCCCCCACCCGCTGCTCACCCTTGTCCTGGGCAGGTACCGGGTTCTTGATGAAAGCAGAGAATTTGTGGAAAATGTCGTTCCCAGCCAGGCTTGACTCCGGGTACTGTGGGACCAGACTGGGGCACCTATGGGGACATGGGCACAGCTGAGGCAGGTACCAGAGGCTGACAGGCTCATGTGCTGTCAGCCTCCTCATCCCTCAGCTTGTCCTGCCCTTCTTTGGGGGGGCCCCTTCCTCCTTTCAAGGCAGCACCAGCCACTGACATGGGGGGGCCCAGCTGGTCCTCCAGGAACTCCTCAGTGGTGATGGTGTCGGTCTTGGGCTCGCCGTTGTAGAGGAGGACGGGCAGCTGGGCACCTGGTGCGAAGTCCTTCAGCACATCCAGTGCCCTATGGGAGATGGGTACACCACTGATGCCTGGCATGTCCAGGGTTCTGCAGGGCACAGTGTGTGTGTGTGTGTGTGTGTGTGTCCATACTGTGCAAGTGTCTCAAGCAAAGGGAGTTCTGGTGGGCTGGTGCACAAGGTGGTGCCCTCAGGCCCCATCTGCCTCAGTGTGTGCCCAAGGAAATACCTCCCAACCTCCCCCAAGTACCAGTGGTCACCTGGGGAGGTACAAAAAGCTCCATGCATCCCATAGTGCCCACCCTTCACATCCCTTCCCAAAGTGTTGGGGACCTACCAACCCCTCACCCTGCACATGATCCTGGCCCCAGGGCTGGCACCCCTTGGGAGGGGGCCACCACTCACCTCTTCACGTCCACAGTGGTGAGGGTGAAGGGCACCCCTTTGAGCAGCAGCATCATGAAGAGCCGCTGGCAGAAGGGGCAGTGTCCTATGCTCTCCCCGTCTTCGCTTGCCTGTGGGCACAGAGGGAGAGCTCAGCTGCCCTTTCACCGTGGCATGGCTTCAGTGGGGTCTGCCCCAGAGGACACAGGGTGAAGATGCTAAGGCATATGCCCCAGCCCAATCTGGAAAGCTGTGCACCTGTCTGTGGCACCTGCTATGCCAGGCAAGGTGCCAGCTCCCGGCCCCTGCCTGCTCCCAGAGCCTCAGTGCCACACCCCAGAGCAGCCACATGGCACAGCAGGTGCTGGCCATGGCACCCTCTGGGGACAAGGACCTCCCGGCTGCGGCAGCCTCACAGTGCCAGTGGGACAAGGGCTTGAGAGCAGTAGTGGCAGCAGGGGTGGCAGGGGACAGTCCACCAGCAGAGATGTGCCAGAGGAAGGTGACACAGATACTGGTGGCCCTGTCAACCCCAGCCACAATCCCAGGTGAGCCCTGTCCTGGCCTGCACAGCCAGGCAGACTGCCCTGGCTAGGCTGTAGCTAGGAAGGGCCTGGCAGGTGCAGGCAGATGCTGCGGTGCTGGCCTGTGAGGCCCTGCCTTTGGGGGGAACCTGGTCCAGCCTCCCCAGGTTTAGCCCCCACAGCTCCTGTGCCTGCAGGGAGGGAAGCAGCAAGCAGCATGCCCTGGAAAAGAGCTCGAGCTGCCCACTGCCTATACTGCCTGCTGCCTATCTCCCCACCTGCCTGCTGCCCCCCGCCTGTGCCCCACTGTGCATCTGCCCTGCCCCACTGCCTGTTGTCAGCCTCATTGCCTACACGGTGCCTGACCAGCTGCCACTATCTGCCCCCCTGCCTGCCCAGTGCCCCACACCTGGGTACTGCAGTGGGCATGGGCAGCCCAGTCACCCCACCACAGCACTACCAGGGTTGTTGCCAGGGCTACCAGTGGCCTGGGGCATTTATCTGAGGACCCCCCCTTACCTTGATAAAGAGCTGGATTTGGGGTTTTTCGGCCATGCTGCGTGGTGGCTGCTGCTGCACTGCTGGCTGCATTCTGAGTGCCCCAGCTGAAACCACCGCCCCTCCCAGCCCACATTCCTCCTCAGGGTGCACCCGTTCCCACCCACGCCTGGCCCCATGGCACAGATGGGACACCCCGTCATGGGGCCCCGCCACCGTGGTTGCTGCCAACCCCAGGCCAGTAAGTGCAGCTGGTGGCACTGCCAGCTGCTGCCACTCCTGCCTGTACCCCCAGCCACCCAACCCTGCTTGAATGATGACAAGCACTGGGCACAAACCTGTGTTGTGCCCCAGCACTCCCTGCCCCCAGCAGGATCCTGCACCCCCACCCTGGGCACTACCACTCTCCTCCTCAGCCCAGGCCTTCCCAGGCAGCCAGCCCTGCCATTCCTCCCATGCCCAACTACACAGCCTCAATGGATTTAGTTATTTTTATTTAAAACGATCATTATTTTCACATTTCATCTTTTTGTTTGGTAGCAATATACAGGCAGCTCCAAGACGTCCCCACCCCCAGAGGCCCCACACCAGGGGCTTAGCATGGCACTGGCACCATGCGTGCGGCTGGTGGCCAAGGACGTGGAGGGAGAGGCAAGGCTGGAAGCGGGGCGAACTCAATGAAGTGAACAGTGTTAAGGCAACAGCCACCCCTGCCCTGGGGTGCTACCTTCTTTGGACTGGTAGCTACCTACCACCCTTGGACTGACTGTAGCACAGCGACTGTGCCCAGGCAGCACTAAGCCCATGGCAGGCAGGCCACCATGGCCACCCAGGCTGTATGGGGACCTCCACTGACCCTCAGAAGCCATGCGGATGACAGCACAGTGGCAGGGGGAAGACTGGGTGGACAGAGAAGACACTGTGACTGGGGTGCAGTAACCTGGAACAAGAGTGTAGTGTGGCAGGTATGGGCCAAGGATAAAGCCCAGAGCACAACAGCACTGCCCACCCTGGGGTGCCCCAGGGTGCCACCAAGGTGACAGCTGAGGACTCAGAGATGACACTATCCCCTCTCCCTGATGGCAAAGGGTAAACTTTGAGCCGGCTTGTCCCCTAGCATCCCCTGGGGAAGGCAGAGTGTGGCCAGCTCGGGGGCAGGGGCACACTGGTGGGGGCTGCGCCCCTGTGCCCTCCAACCCATCCCAGATCCAGCCAGTTTCCCATATGCCATAAAAAAAAAAAAAGTCTGAAAAATCTGAAAATAGAGCTTCTTCCCCCGTTTTCCCCCTATTGAAAATACTGTATATTAGATTACAGTCCGTAACAGGTGGCATATCAGCCTGATAGGACCAGAGGGCAAAGGGACAGTTGAGGTCAGGCCCTGTTCCTGTGCCCAAATGGGGCCAGAGCCAG